CATCGGGTGTAGCAGGTTGTGTAAAACATATAAAATGGTCATGACACTCGATTAAATTAGTATTTATGACATCGACTGTAACGTGACTACGATGCATATTCATATGACTTCTTTAAAAAACTCAAATGACAAGCTCACATGAACGGACAACTGTATGCAATATGAATAGTTAACGGCTGACCTAAATGCAGGAAACAAACGGGCAAATTCAGTGTTTATGACCGGTTAACGTGGATATGACCAATCGACCGACTAAGCCTAATTTCCGTATATTACGAATGTTTAATCGTTTTTTACTCGCGCACGACAATCGCCAATACTGATTAATCATAATACGAAAACCTGTCATTTTACATTGCATGAAATAAACTTGCATTTCCATTATGTCCCTGCGGAGATGGGATGGAGTGTGACAACGAAGGAAGTTGGCGAGCATGGAAAGAAGCCGTGTCTATATCGATTAAAAGGAGATAAAGAAGGAACGTTTGCGCCATAAAAGAGTCTCGTGACCATGGGGAGTCAGGCGAGCAAGCACACACACGACAAGGAGATAGCTGCATATATCAGCATATTGAAGTTGGCACATATACTGCGACAGACGACGCTAAACAGACGACGTTGTTTACACAGAGCGCGTTTTGGACGTGCGCGAGCAGACGACGTGCTGGAGTGGAGTTTTTTCACGAGATAACACACATTTCGCTTGTGCAAAAGGCAAAGGGGTAAACTGTACTTCTAGTACTTCTAAATTACCATTTTCACTAAACAAATGTGAGAAGACGCTTAAACACGCAATATGAAAATGTAGGTCGTTATACCGCTTCGCGGTTCTAGTCCCACCTCTCAATGACGTCACCGATTTGAACGGTCCGTGGAGCAGCCTACATAGTCTGCTATCGGCCAATAAGAATTTCATGACCGCAAATAATGCAGCAAGTTTCAAGTAAAAAATTCGTTGAGGTGATGCGGCCTATAAGCGAAAAGCTAGAATGTCAAATCTTTGACGCCATACTGCGAGCTGAAGTTTCGGTGGCAAATTCATAAATTAAACTTTGGCCTAATGTTTAACTTCTTATAATGCCGATGAAGTGGGTAAAAACAAGGTTCTGAAATAAAAGAAAGTGCTAAGCGTCAATATTTGTGACGTCGTGGCGAATTGGTGGCGGAACAACCCCATGCTTCTAGCTCCACCTCAGACGCGTCTGTGACGGTACAGGTCATGGAAGAACTTGCATAATTTACTATTGGCAAATAAGAATCACAATGTCAGAAATGCCCCCCCCCGTTTAATTACTTAAAAAAGTTAAGTAATTAGTTCTTGAAATTCAACAGCACATTTCCTCTCCCACAATTATAGCCATACACAAGAGTCACCTTGTTAATTGTTGGGGTTTTACGTTCCAAAACAACGATGTGCTATTGTTACGGGGTTTGTAAGAGAGGTTTAATCGTAAGAGCTGGATAGCGAGTGTCAGCCAGAACACTCAGCCCCGTAACGATATTGAGGGACGGCTTGTGGAGAGCTCCGAAAATTTCAACCGCGCGCCTCGGTGTTTTTCAACGCCCACCTAAATCCAAGTAAAAGGGCTTTTAGCATTCCCGACCACGCTCAGATTCGGTCGCCACGGCACAGATTCGAACCCGCCACCTCCGGGTCAGCATGCAGTTGAGCTCCATAACCACCACACCAGATATTGCGTGGCCATGATGCGTCACGCGAAGGCACACGTGCGACTGCGTAAGGACAGGGGCCAGTCTTCGACCCTTCCACCTCCCTCCTTACCTACTATAAGATTTGGGGAGGACGTCCTCCTTCGCTGTTATGCCCTATGCACGCACCTATGGCTGTAAGCAGCCTCATGAATGGTGAGGCAAAAACAGAGAGAGAGAAAGATAGAGAGACGGGGGAGTCTCGTGACCAGGAGACAGGCGAGGCATCGGCCGACACATGATGCTACGGAAGAGATAGCGTTGTTGCACAAACCGATGCTGGCACGCGAGCAGCAGACGACTCGATACACAACGAGCAGACGACACACGTTGTCGGGGCGTGCTGGTTCGTTAGGCTTGGCGATGCAACGACTATGCTCGAGATAGCGATCGCGAGTGAATGGGCTTGGCAAGCAGAGCAGCATGACCGAATGATTGGCGCAGAGTATGCACCCAACGGTTGCGTGCTTGCATGGGCGTCGGCAGGGGGGTGCAAAAGGGGCACTTGCCCTATACTCCACCCCTCACTGGAACTCGTCCCTTGCCAGGCTTGTAGTTAGGAATCTTTTTCGGGGGTGGAGGGGGGCAGTTGTTGAAGGACTTTAAAAACCTATTTTTTTATCATTTTCTCTCTGCAAAACACTCCCCTCCATCTGAATCTCGAAAGAAGAGGGGGACCTCTTCTGGCACCGAGCCTGTTCCCACCCAATCTAGCTACCAGATCTTCCCCGCTCCCCAGCCGAAATGCAACATGGGCTCACATCTCGCTTTTATTCGCACGCGCACCGTGTACTAGTGAAGATGCATCCCTAAACGATGCTGAATTCACACCCTGTCACACGTCAGTGGAATGGAGCGCTGAATTGAGTCGGGCAAACGGGCAGACACCTCAACACGGGGCTTAATTACGGAGCACAACTACCACTGCTTGAAAAAGGAGGCTGGAATCCTTGTCTAACACTGCAGGGACTGCTGCTGCGAACCCATGTTGGGAAAACACGATTGGTAGTGAGCAAAGTAAAAATTTAAATTTCAAAGGCGACATAACTTATAGATATATGAAGGAAGGATGCATTAGTCGTCCATCGGTTGCTTCACCTTCGAAGTAAGTTTTTAGGTATTACCACGTGGCACTGTATCATTTGCCTGTCTAGTGATTGATACATAAGTGGGGCTTAACGTCCCAAAACCACCATATGATTATGAGAGATGCCGTGATGGAGGCCTCCGGAAATTTCGACCACCCGGGGTTCTTTAAAAACGTGTGCCCAAATCAGAGCACATGGGCCTACAACATTTTCGCCTCCATCGGAAATGCAGCCGCCGCAGCCGGGATTCGATCCCGCGACCAGCGGGTCAGCAGCCGAGTACCTTAGTCCCCAGACCACCGCGGCGGGGCCATTTTCCTGTCCATCTTTTGTTGCTCTTGAATAAGCGAATTGTTTGCTGCTACACGACAGGGTGATCTTGGTTTTAATTTTTCACACACGTCACGTGGGAACGACGCGTATACATTGCCTATTTAAGCGATCCCTTCCCCTAATCTGTGTTTTGGAGGACCAAATAAAAGTTTATCCAATCCAATTCCCCTAATATAAATCAGTTGAAGTTCAGCGCTTGTGTCGTCCCGTTGTGTGCGTGTTCTTTGTGTAACATGGTGTGCGCCACCATGTGCTGCAACGTCCTATCAACTATAGCCCGCCAATTATGTTTTAATTAGGAAGCTACGAGAGGAGCGTTGGCCGTATACGCCTCTAATATGGGAGGAAAAAAAAAATCACTGCACTGGAGTGCCTGCAGAATCAACCTCGACTCGGCCACAATCTTATCTTTTCGATATGAGCCTCGCTTAGTATACTGAATCCCACGCGCGCTGTCCAAGGTTGTGACATCTGCATTTCACCCGTCGCCTCGCAACGAAAAGCTTTTTAACATATGCGATGCTGCACGTTCTAGCTTGGCGTAAAATATCTGTCGTGACCCAAAGCTGTTATATTTAATTATCATCGCTAACCGGCACGCTTTCTCTTATTCTCAGCTCCCAAAACACGGGCGCTGATTAGTCCGCCGTATAGCAATGGGGCGAGAGAAAGGAAGAGAGAAGGAAATAAAATGCTCCAAGGCGGTGGGATTCGAACTCGCGTATACCCACGATTTGAAGGCGAGCGTAAGGCTATTCAGGCACGCTAAAAAAAAAAACACACAGAATAGCCTTGTTCAATATCGTATCATCATATGCGTGCGGAGAGTTCCCCTCCATGGGAGGTGGGTGGGGGTAGGAAGGAAAGGTTCATCAAAGTGTTTCCGCTCCCTATTATGTCAATGTATAGGGATGACTTTTCATCCCCACCCCCCGCCCCGAGTCTCAGAGCCCCACTCCCTATTACTTCAATTTATGGCGTTGCCTTTGCGGCACCCTCTAAGGTAACTATGGGGGAAGGTCGCCCTTCTCCTGCCCCCCACCACTCCGTACAATAAGCTCAGCGTCTACACTGGACTATGATAAAGTTATGCTCGATCACTCACTCACTCACGTGATCATAAAGGGCAGTGGCGAGCTTTGGGCTGGGCACATGGAGCTTCTAGTTCACAGTAGTGAAGCTACGCGCATCGACGTCGCCTCAGTATATCGGCGTTGCCTACCGCTCTGTACAAACATGGATTAGGGCAGTCTTCCCGCCACTAGGATGGAGTCAACGTTTTTAGATATATCTGGAAACGCTGGACGGAGTTGAGCCAACCTTCAGTTTGACAATGCATTTTTTTTTATTTTTAAGGTCACAAAAAAAACACACACAAAAAGCTAGGGACTTCTATTTGCTGGTGCCTTGAAACTGATGGTAGGTCGTTTCTTTTGATGTATCATCACACTTATCTTGATAGAGATGTGAAATTTGCAGAGCTTACGAAGCACTCCGAAAGAAACACGCAAATCCATCATTATATTTCGCGCGCTTTTCAGCAATTTAACTTTCTATTTTCACTTAATTAACTTTTTCTTTATAAGCGAAGTAGAAGTTGACGTCTTTTATTAGGTGCACCGATCATTTTTTTTTTTATAATTTGAACTCTCGCGTCAACAACACTTGATTTATTTTTTGTTTTCTTTTGAATACTTTACCACGCAATTTCATTTTTTTTTACATTATAAGTATTTTGTGAATATTAATTTTCATTAACTTACCACAAATAAATACATAAATGTTAGGTTATTTTAGCAAGCAAGTCGAGACGAGACAATAGTAGCCCAGCCACACACTAATCCGCTGCCCCCTGTGTGCATTTTCAGACATAGCAGGCACTCCTCTGTGCTTCCTAACATCGTTGCTGCTGTCTGACGCGACCTACCTACCCTTTCTGCGTACGTCGCGAGCCTCCCTGGACGTCTGGGAAGCCGTCTGACGCGTCTTATCGCTTACGCTGCGGCATCTCCCCCGGGCAGCCGACCAATGGGCGTGCGACTCGGACGATGACGACTCTGTACGCGCCGATAAGCACCTTTATCTCGCCTTGAAAAAACGCTTTTGACGGCCGGCGCACCTTCATGCGCCAGTCTGGCACCGAGGAGCGCAGCGAAAGCAAGTCAATGGCGGACTTCGTCATCAGCGTAAGCTTATCGGATTCATTTTTATAGCTGTCTCTTGCGGCGCGATATTAGTTTTTGATCGGCGGATGCGTTCTCCTCTTAACTGACTTCCTTATCTGCATGCCATCGCACTGATTGTACTACTACGTTAGGCGAGTTGCGTAACAAACATCGGCGCTTGACCTCCGAGCGATGCGGCGATCGTGAGCGCTGTGCTTGTGTGCGCGCGTCGTCTGCTAGAATTTGCGTATAAGTCGTCTGCTCTAAATTGTCGGCCAATTTTGGTTCGTGTTGCGTCGTTCGACAGGTTCCTCTACTGTGCATTCTGCATATCGTAGCTGAAACGTGCAGAAATTATTCTACAGTGTTCCATCACTTCGCGATAGTTCTTAACATTCGCCTAGTTTCGGTACCAGCCGTAATTCGCATCTTTGCAAACACCGTTATGCCGAGGAACTGATCACGGCATCTGTTGGCTGTTTGAACGCAAAATGTGGCACTGTAGGCCCTTCAAGTGATGGGACTCCTCTTAATTGACAACGCATGCCGAAGGTGACAGCACGTTGGCGAGGGTATATGTCAGGCACCTGAAGGCGTCCCCGGATTGAGGCGGCATGTCGAGTGACATTCGTTGACGATTTGTCCGTGACTTGAACCTTCTCTGTTATATGTCTTGTCCAAATCACAAGTCACCGTATCACAGCGGACGTCTTCATTGCAGTCACCGCTCGTCAAGTCATTCCTCGCCGGCTCGCTCAGTGGAACATGTTCCACGCTGCTATTTCAGCCATTGGACTTGCTCAAGACCAGACTACAGCAACCACACATTCATGGGTATGTACATACAGGAATGCAACAACCGGGCCAATCAATAGGTTTTAATTTATTTTGTGTGTGCATTAATCTTTGACAACAAGGATTTTTGCAGATATCGTCAGTGGACATATACTAATAACCCCTGTCTGTCACATGTACAAACTGTTGCCTGTGAGGTCGGAGTGCTGTGTTTATTCAAGCGATCGTATTCGTGATGATCGGTCATTAAGCTCTTGCATCATCTTCATTACGCTTTCCGAGAAAGTTTTTTCTTTTTTGTATGATAATGCCCTCACACAACTTGGTCTCAGCAGTTGCTAGGCATCGAACCATTGCATGAAAGTGAATGCCTTAACATAGAGTATCATAGATGTTTCGGAGACTGCATACAAACTGCTTGCAGTTCATTGGACAAGCGTTTGCCTTCAAAGAAAAAGCACAAGATATGGTGGTTACAACATCTACAGATGAAATTATTGAATCAAATCCGGGTGTTTTCACCTTCCTACTTATGTGTATCATCAGATCTTTTAGGTGTGCTTGGATTATGGACATATTCCCAGGTGTAATGTGATTCGGTTCCACACCACAATAGTTCATCGACGTACATGCTAAGGGATTGGTGGGCCCATCATTCTGAGGCAAGGACCTTTGAGTAAGGTGCATCGTGTCACGTCATAGGAACATTGGTGTGTAAACACTGATGTAGGAATAAGAGCATGCAGTAAAATCAAATGATTGATGCTTAACCAAACTATATTGATAGTATTAATGGCTATAGTATTTACAGTCACTGTATTGACAGTTTTAACACATTTCTTGGAATGCAGTTGAACACCTTTATGAGAGACACACACTTGGCAGCGATTCCTTTCCTTCATAAGAGGTGTGTCTTATAAGCAAGGCACCTCATATGCATCACCTTATAAACCCCCCTGTTTCAGTACAGCTGCAGTAGTGTCTCTTATAACCTAATGTATCTTACATCAGTGTCTCTTGTAAAGGGGTTCGACTGTATTTCAGTAGGTTCGCAAAAGTACGTTGTGCTGTTTTCCATGAAAGCCTTATCTAGCTTTAACGAGCTCACTTTTCTTTCTTTTTTGCTTTGCATGCAGGGAAACCTCAAGGGTGGGTATGCTGAAACACGTCGCCTACGTCGTCAAAAACGAAAGAGTCTTCGGTCTGTGGAAAGGCACTGTTCCTGTAAGTGAGTAAAAAACTATTTGGTCTCTGAAAGTCTGTTGGTGCTCAAGTATAAGTTAACAGCCATAAAAAAAAAAGTCATCTTTGTGCAGTGTAGGAATTGAATTTAATCTTAACCTTTCATCGCAATATATTTGCAAATTTTGTTTTTGTGTGAAAACAAAGTTTTCCATTTTCAGTCCATTGTTCGCTGCGTTCCTGGAGTCGGACTGTACTTCTGCACCCTTCATTTTCTCAAGACAAGCCTGCAGTAAGCTATTGAAATTTTTTTTATTGATTTACTCTTTTATATAACTTCACATTGCAAATACTTTACAAGCAGTGACAATAATTGCTGTATTGAAATGCATAAAAGCTCACTGTATATACGAAAATGTAACGCGAGCTTTTTTTTTTTTCCGGATTTGCGCTATCTAAAGTCTGCCTTTGCGTTACAGTAGTGGTCGCATTACAGTAGAGTAAATACGGTAGCATCCTCAGTAAAATTAGCTCCATACAATGCAAATGATTTACAAATTTTGTCAGTGAGCTAACGCGTGCTCCTCTAACTAAATACTGTTAGGAGATGTTAATTTTAAGAAGTATGTTATCAAGACCTTACCAGCTACAATGGTCTGGGGGTTATGGTGTTCGACAGCCGTCACGGCCGGGACCGTGGCGGCTGAATTTTTGATTCGAGGCGAGAATGCTTGAGGCCCGTGCACTTGAATTTAAGAGTACTTAAAAGAACCTCAGGCGGTCGAAGTTTCTGCGAGTCCTCTGTTATGGTACCTCCCATAATCGTATCGTCATTTTGTGGTGTTCAGCCCCGACATTTATTTATTTATTTATTTATAATACCTCAAGGGCCCCAGTAAGGGGCATTACATGAGGGGTTAGACAGTTCACAAACAGATGATTTGTTTGATGGCTTCTTTGAAATGCGCGATGCTGGAGTGGTGCACGATGTCAGCAGGAAGATCGTTCTATTCTGTTGATGTTTGCACAAAAAATGAAGAGTGATGGGCAGTGGTATGCGCACGGGGTGGATAAACCGCTTTCGAATGGCTGATACGGCATGAAAGACGATGGGCTGGAACGATAACATGGTTTAGGTGCAATGCATGATAAAATGTGTGAAACAAACACAGTCTTAAAATTTTGCGGCGTGGAGCTAAGTTAACCATGTTAGCTTGAGATTTTAGTTCGGTGACGCTGCTAAGATAGGAATAGATAGATAGGAATTATCTGTGCATGTTGAGGCCGAAGAGTATGCTTTGCAATCAAAGTTATTTGATTTTTCATGAATAAGCTCTACACAGTTGTAAGATGTGTTTTTTGACGAAAGGTACACAACTGTAAAAAAAAAAAGAATCAGTTTGACTTGACTGGAAACGTGCATATCGTATGCACTTTGGCTACGTCTCCTGCATTTTATTTTTTATAACATTCGTAAACAGCAAAAATATTGTTTATAAATTTATAAATTCTTGTTTATTATAAAAATTCACATTCTTTCGAGGCACTTTGTGTGCAACTGCGAATCTCAAGGAACATCAAAAATGAAAATATGTCGAAACAGTGTTGCTTTGAAACTCGTAATGTGCATTTTCACCTTAAACCTGCACTGCGAGTTCGAACATTATTTGTATTGTCTTTAATAGATTGAGGGAGAAAATAGCAGGGGGCATTTTAATTCATCTATTTTATTTTTAAAGAGTGCAGCGCTCACTTTGATTTTTAAGAGTGGATACACAGTTTCCTGAATTTACATACTGGCAAACAAAAAAAATGGTTCACAATAATGGTTCGCATAGTCTCAATGCCAATGCGTCGTTATTGTGGGTTCGTTCTGTTTTAGTTTTTTTTCTTTCGTGGTCTTTTACATCATCCATATATTTCAAGAGGCTGTATAATTGCTTTCTAAGTATGCAGCCTTTGAAATAGCTGGTATTCTTCTGTCTTATCTCTATGTAGAGTGCTCTCACGCAATGTTCACGTTTTGAAAGTTTACAAAACACCCTGGCTGATTGGCAGTTTACAATTCATTTTGTTGCATCATAATCTTTAAGAAACCCTTTAAGAGTAATGTCTGAGTGGACACGGTGCTAAAACAGTACTCCTAGATGAAATTTTTAAACATATCTGTGTATTCGGTCTGGCTTCATTACTTCATGACAGAAAATATCACATGAATTGAGAACAACTGACACAACTTTTTTTCTCCTCTTCTTGGGGAATATAAGTAAAATCGGCTCTTAATGTGCTAAAGTGTCATTGTAAGAAACACAAACGTTCGCTATCATTAACTTAGCCCTTTCAGCACTCACTCTGGCTCGGTGTTTGTGACATCTTACATTGTTTCTTACCTCACCAAGGTCGTCTGTCTCTTGTAAATGAAAAAAATGTGCAAGTCACCTCTCGCGAGCTGTTTTCCCAACTGCGTTTGGCATGTTGTCTCGCGACGTATGCCGGCTATCAGTTTCGTGTGTGCTGAATGACGCGTTATCTGCGGTCGCTCTGCCTCCGCGGAGATAAGCGATGGTCTTGGGAGGCATGCTTATTTAAGAGATTGGGCAGGCGCGCTTTCAGATAGTTTGTCTCGAATCTACGCAGTTTGATGTTTGATGAATAACAATATAGTTATTGCTGGGGTTTTACATCCCAAAACCAAGAGAGCATTTTGAGAGAGTGGGCCCCTGGCATTCCGTTTCCATCGAAAACACAGTCGCGGTGGCGGGGATTCGGTCCTGCGACTTTCAGGCCAGAGGTGAAGCACCATAACATCAAAACCACCGTGGCAGTGTTCTTTCGAGGGGTGAATGTTATTAAGGAACCGGTTCATAATAACGGATCCATATGATATTCTATGCTTTGCCATAGCAATGAGTCTCGTGGTATGAGCATGAATGCATTAATTAGTGAAATGCTATAATTCATGGTTCAGCTACAAGTAGACTAGATTAGCGACTGCTTAGGAACCAGGTTGTTGCTCCCGGCACTGAACGCGAAATCCAGGTTTTGATGTCTAGCCCCGAAAGCTGTGTTTTAATGGGTCGTAGAAAAAGAAGATGCCAATTCAATATGGAAGGGCAAACATTTTTTTTTTTTCATGCTTATTACCTATTTCTTCAGCGCCTGGTCAAGAACTCTTAAGAGAGTCGGGGATTACTCGGAAAGTTTTTTTTCTTTTCAGATCTTGTGGTCCTTGCTTTATCAATTGCAACTGCCATGGCAGATGCACCTTGGTGTTATCACTCACCTTTTCACCTTCATTCGGCTAATTAACTTACAAGCAAAAGGTTGTGTGTTTTAATCCTACTACCATAGAGGCAGTTTGTCGGATATATGATGCGAGGAATTCTAGTGCAGTCAGGTTTAGTTGCATCTTAAAAACAGACCGAAGTAATAAAAATTAATCAGGAATCGGCACACCCCGGAATGTCTTGTCATCTTATTGTGTTATTTACAGAAATTGATGCAATGCAATTTTTATTGTGCAATTTAAGTGTAGTGTCATCTAGAAAAAAAGCTTCCTCTGAAGCATATTTTCTTCCTACCTTAATGTATAGTTCTTGCTGTAAAGGGCATCTGTGTAAACACAAGGCTTCGCCTTTTGTGCCAACATGCTGTTTATTTGGTAGTTTTTTCTTACGCTGTTCGTTCCTGTAGTAGCTGCTATCTGTACAATAATCCATCTGCCTGTTTACAGACCTTCCCCGCATCGTGTTGTAATCGTGAACTATCTCTCGTGCACACGGCGGTCGCGCGGCTTTTCTGGACATTCCTTTAGCTCGTCAGCTTGACAAAGCCGCTTTGTTTTCGCGGGTATTAAGAGTTATCTCCTGTGGTAGCTTTCGGTCCTGCTGCTTGTTATTGCACTTTTGAGAAACTACAACTTTTCTTTTTTTGACTTCGTATGGGAGCTCTTTTTTATGTTTATTGCGAAAATTGCGCTCAGTGTTTTTTTTATCTCTTCGAGGGTGCACATATCTTTGTTTTGCCTTCCATAAAGTCCCTCATTATATCTTAATTTTGTGAATCCTCTTGTAGGGGCTTTTTGTAAATAATAAATGAATGAGTAAATAAATAAATGTAATATATATACTAGTGAGCAAGGGACGGCAATGTTACTGCGAATGCTATTTACTTGTACTCTCCCCAACTTGTGTATTTTGTGTAACTGTTGAAGAGAACGGCGATAAGAACGTTTTGCCGATTCCGGCTAGTGGGGCTGTGGGTGGGTTTTTGGAGACGACAACGAAGCAGGCGTCTCGCTGTACGGCTGATCCCGAACACACTCTTTTGTTGCTGCAAGTTGCTGTCGTCTTTTGCTTGCGTTACGCCGCGACAGTATACTGTTTATTTTGCACATCTAGCTAACTTTTCCTGCGTAATACTTTTATTTATATCGAATAATCACTCTGAGAAATATGTGCGAAAGCAAAACCTGCGGATATAGGTAGTTGGATTGAAATAACAGCGCATAGCAGCTTCGAAATGCCCTGTGAAAAAGTTCTGGTGCAATCGTTAGTGTGCGTAAGAACTTTAAAAGCAACTCTGTTTTCTGCGTTCAGGCAATGTTGCTTCATCGGATGCTTTTACAGTGAAGTTTAGTATGGCTTCTCGGTACAGTGTAGCATACAAAGTTTGCATTGAGATTCGGCTTCATAGCAATACCGATATAATTGAACACAATTTTTTTTTTTCTGTTCAAGCTTCAAAACTAATATCAGTGTTGCTTTGAAACCTTATATGGGGGGGGAGGGGGTAAGGGAGGGGGCAGAAATTTATTGGAAATTGCATTCTTATTTTGTTTCTTTTTTTGTGAATCTATCTTCGCGAAACATATCTAAGTTAATTTCATATATATTTTCAGTGTTAACTGCATCAAAGGAGAGGATAATCATCTGTGAAGCTGTGCATGTGGGAAAAATTCGCATGCAACTTGCAATTTTTACAATTTTTGTTGCGTATACCGTGATCTGGCATTGTAACGAAAAGTTAGAATAATAGTTTCATCATGTGCCACCAACCTGATCCAGTGATGGGCACACTTGAAAAGCGGGTTCTGTAGCTCAACGAGAATGGCCTGCGGATTTGCGTTCTGGCTTAGTTTCGGCGACGGCTGGAATAACAGGTTGCCTCGACTTCGCAGCCTCGACAACCCAAGCTCAAGCGAAGCCATGTTCCTCGGTGCCAGTGCTCGGGCCATATCCGGTGTCGTGCTGCTGCCAGTCACAGTTATCAAGACCAGATTTGAGGTAATCTTTGATTTCTTTTTCTTTTCTTGTTGTTGTTCACTTTGGATTGCAACTTTACGCATTGTGTTAGGTCAATGTTGTCTCTCAGGGAGAGGGCACAAGAAGAGGGGTGTGAAAGCTTTAGGAGATACCCCTCCCGCCCCCCCTTCCCCGACCCATTCTGCCTCCATCTGTGTAAGGCAGGAAACAAGGAATCGGCATTCAACTTTCAAAGGAATTTGCAAACATTGCATCCTCCCATTAGAGCACCTAGCGTAATGGAAACACAAGACAGGCATGTTGACCAGGACAGCATCTGGTTGACCACCCTGCCTTGGAGAAAGGGAAAATGTAAAAGATAAGAGAGATGGGCCTAGGAAGCGAATGTGGGGTGGATTCGGTGACCTATGTGGGAGCGTGCTGCTTTAGTTAAAAATGCTCACACAGGACCATTATTCTCGCAGAGAACAAAAGAGCCTTCACTAACCTGTGAGCCTAAACACAATGATTGTATTCTAGTAGCAGTCGCAGAAGGTAGCCAATCACCCAATCATTACAACCGTTTAGAAAACATGTAGCTTTCTAATGAAATTTTGGAAGAGTGGTCAAGTAAATGGTCTTTGTTTTCTTTCGTACGGCTGACCTCACATGCTGCACTCTCAGTCAGTTTGGGTAGCTTAGTGTGATTCTTTGCACGTTAGTGCAAAGCTCTGTCCGTGCTCTCTGAAATGGTTGGCATGCCGTACTCTGCAGCGTAATGTGACGCCTTTGACAGTCATGTTGGTATACTCTACTTTTACACAGCCGACAACGGGAAACAAATCATAGTTTTAAAGCACTTGGTGCCTCTTATCGATCGTGTTCTTTGTCTACACAAGTCGAACCGGCAGTTCTCGGAGCCGGCAAGGTACAGTAATCTTCTGCTGACGATGCAGCACCGATAAGAACGTGGTTGCGCGAAGCTGGTTTGAGCCTTCCGCTATCTCGGCGAGCAAACTCTGCACAACTGACGAAGCTGGTACGACTGCGTGTTCTTTTCTTTCTTTAATTTTTACCAGTCTGTCACACGCCTATCGCGGCAGTCGCGCGATCTTCCCGTCTCTTGCCATCAACGACAGCATTCATTCACGTCTCCCTTCCCCTTAAGCCTCTGCTACTTCTCGTATGGTTGCGAGTCCACTTTGTCAGTTTGCCACAAACAATGTAATACGGTTAGGAAAAATAGATAGCTGGATACTTTCTATCCTCTTTGCAGTAGCTGAGCTTTGCATAATGGAGGAAGCTGCCCTTCACCGAGCTGACTTGTTCTCGCATGGTTTAACTGCTCTTCAAAGCTGCACTTCAAAGCCTGTTACGCTGTACTGTGACGAATCAAATAAAGCAATCAATCAATTTATTAAACTTTGAAGAGGCGATTAAATGAGCCTGACGCCTAGTTGACGCCTAAAGACAACGCTTTCTAAAGAAGCTTCATGCTTGCTTTGCCGGTTTATGCTTGATGAGGTACAGGCAATAAGTAAGTCCTTGCTGTTATCGACTAATTCTTATTTGTATTTTTATAATCATTAGGCAAAGGACACGATGTAAGCTTGACAGTGTCCCACGTGTTGCTTGTCCTGTAACACTAGATGTGTTCTGATGCGCACTCGTACAGTGTGTGAGACTGAAGACGTGGCATGCTTTGTTGTTTTATATTTCATTTGGTTAGTGAATCGTTATGAATGGCTGAAATAGAGGAATCCATGAAATTTAAGCAATTTTGTGCTGAGGTTCTAGAGGCTGCATTGAAAGCAAGTCAGAACGGTAGGGTTATATTGCACTCATGCATCCTCCTCAAGAGGGAAGTATATAACATTTGCATCTCGCCAGTACTTAACTACGGAGCAGAAACCTGGAGGCTTACAAAGAGGGTTCAGCTTAAATTGAGGACGACGCAGCGAGCGATGGAAACGAAAATGATAGGTGTAACCTTAAGGGACAAGAAGAGAGCAGAGTGGGTCAGGGAACAAACCGGTCTTAAGGATATCATAGATTAAATCAAGAAAAAGAAATGGACATGTGCTGAACACGTAGGCAGGATAACCGGCGGTCACTTACTAGATTTCCAGTGAAGGCAAACGCACGAAGGGGAGACAAAGAGTTAGGTGAGCCGATGAGATTAAAAAGTTTGCGGGTGTAACGTGGCAACAGGAAGCACAAGACCGGATTGATTGGCGGATCAAGGGAGAGGCCTTTGCCCTGCATTGGGCGTAGTCAGGCTGATGATGATGATGATGATGATGATGATGATGATGTGATGCATTTTCCAGTGAGTTATTGTAGTTTGAGAGTAAATTACTTTCCATTTGATAATACTCAATGATTTCTTTAAGTTAGCCCAAAGCCCCATGTGCTACATGTTCAGTGGCGGCACATTTTACGAAATTGGAAAAATTACTGTGTCCTCACTGTTTACCAAATGTGGCATTAAGTGACTGAAGAAAACTGGTCGTCTCAAGTAATATGCCATTCTTGTTATTTGAATGAAACCCCGTGACTTCAGAAAAAAATTTATTCCGAGCCTAATACACGTAAAAAGTCTTTTGCCACCTCCAGACATAAGTGGGAAAAACAAGCCACACATGGGCACTCACTCACTAGAGCGAATACTTTGTGTACTGAAAAAGAAAACAGGAAAGTGTTGGTCAGTGTTTTTTTTTTTTTTCAAGAAAAAATTGCTGTCCGTTAAAAGGCTAAAACTGATCAGTCGAAATTGCGATTCAAAGAGAGAATTTCGAGGATCTGCAAATGACTAAGCATATAAAGACAGCTTGACTGAAGTTCATCTCAAAAACCATCTCCGTATTTCTTGTAATATTTTTTCTGTAAATCTACAAGTGTGTCTTCGTATAACTGAGAAACATCTTCGCGTTTATCTAAAGCAACAATATCAGAGGAGGTCAGCTGGACACTTGTACACTCCGCTGAGCGTTCCCTTGCGCCAGAGCCGCGAGCCTCGATCCACACGGCTGTCGTCACCCGGAAGTCCGTGCAGTGTATGGTCTGTTGCATGCCGTTCTTCGGGCGTGCGCCCTCGTGGTCGTTCACCTTTGGCTTTGGGAAAGCACGAAGCGCGTGGGTTTCGTGTTTGTGCGGGGCAGTCGAACACAGCGATACGCTTGTCGCAGACATCTCTCCTTATCACTTATCACTTATCTTGTCTACGATGGCAAGAGGCATTGCACCCTACTGCACCCTACAGAAGCATCGGGAGACATGTAAGCATGCTGGGCACTTCCTCCTTTTCAGCAGTTGAAAAGGATGGGAGATATAATAATAATAATAATAATAATAATAATAATAATAATAATAATAATAGTTTTTATTTCTGCCTCAAGAAAATACAGGGACAAGAGGGCTGCAGAGAAAGCTATCATAGACAGCTTCGCTGAGCCACAGCCTCTAAGTACAAAACGACAGCGAAAAGCAGGTGATGGGCGAATCGGAATTGTGTGTGCATGTGTGCTATAGAGCATGCTTGCTTAGATAAAAAAAAAATTGTCCTTCTGCCGTGTCGTGAATCCATGCTGTATGTTAAAGCCCAAGGGCCCATAGAGAGTTTTTTACGATGTAATGTACGCTGCGTGTTTACTTATCAACGTACTTATCTACGGAGGCTCGTGCATGCGACACGCGTGCCGGGGAGGTTTGAAATTTTATTGTGCCGTTGATAACGCAGAGCCTGTCCCTACGGGCACACTTTATGGTAGATTAGCAGGCAAAGTATCGTGCTGGTAAGCTCGAAATGGGGGTTCAACTCCTAGCAACTGCAGCCGTGATGATTGGGCATAAAATGCAAAAAAAATAATAATAACCATGTTGTGAATTTTAAATGCACAGTAATAAACTGCAGACAGTCAAGATTATGCGAGAGTACCCTCTAGAACAATGGTTCTCAGCCATGAATTGGTCCGGGACCCCTTGTGGGCTGGTGTCAGGGATAGGGGACCCCTTGCAGCGGAGCAGAGTGAGGGAGGATACGTAGGTAAATTAACACAACTGGAGCAATGAAATAGGTGCATTTTACTGCTACCAAGAACATCAAGCAAACGTGCCACATCTCTTCATTTTGGACAGTCCATCCATACGGGGCCGCCCCGCCGCGGTGGTCTAGTGGCTAAGGTACTCGGCTGCTGACCCGCAGGTCGCGGGTTCGAATCCCGGCTGCAGCGGCTGCATTTCCAATGGAGGCGGAAATGTTGTAGGCCCGTGTACTCAGATTTGGGTGCACGTTAAAGAACCCCAGGTGGTCGAAATTTCCGGAGCCCTCCACTACGGCGTCTCTCATAATCATCAGTGGTTTTGGGACGTTAAACCCCACATATCAATCAATCAATCCATACGGGGCACAGTCAAGCGTAAAAAAAAATGCGGTTGAAGGTATCCCAGGTCACAGAAATGGCTTCGCGGACCCCCTAGGGTCTCTGGACGCCCATTTACGAACCACTGCATTAGGACATGCCTTGCAATCACATCTAGATTTTATCAGGTAAAACATTACAATAGATAACAGCACATTTTGTGTGCCATGGTTTGCCAAAATTTGGTGAAAACATCGCAACTTAGTGGACAAGTTTTTCTGCACCTAGTGTCTGTGCTTAAAAACAAAAGTGCGCAACACCCCACTTCTAAAGTAACTTCAACTAATCTGTGTGCTCAATATGGAGTACCTTACCTTACAGTTCTAGGAATGGAATGCAGGCACGAAGGATGGCTGTTGTCTGCAATGCAGCCCTTGTCTCGTAACACTGGCTTCACTCTGAATTTTGGAATCATCACTCAAGATAGTGTAATTGAAGATAACAGAGTTGTTATCCTCTTCCGGCGAAGAACAATGGATTCTGCGTTGTTGCTTTCTTAATAACTCCTGCCTTTAAAGTTGGAGGGGACCTTTTTTAGTGTGAGCAACCCATGCGCAAATTGTCACTGAGAGACTCCATTATTAAATATCTCTTGCAGTTTAAGTACCCAAAGAGCGCTTAAACATGACCTCCAAAGCATTAAGACGGTGCTGCAATGTACACTCAAACCTCGATATAACAAACACGGATATAACGAAATATTTATTATAATTAAGTAAATGAAAAATAGTTTTGCAATAGATACAGTGTTAGGAATAACATCTATCACGAATTTTTTTGATATAATGAACTTATTTTCTTGTAAGATGTAACTTCATTATAATGAAGTTTGAGTGTTGTATTACTTCATTGTCAACAGTCTCAAAATTAAAATATTTCCATGAAAGGAATAGTTTATTCAAAGCAGTTGACAGGTTAATTGAGGAAAATCTAGAGGCGATCCTAATCCTCGACGTGGTAGGCGTATCGTAGTTGAGACTGGCTACGGTATTAGCGACCGCTTTCCAGTTCTATTCGCAGTTAAAACACAAGTAAACAAGACGGTGCTGAGGCGGCGTCTAGTACAACGCGTTACCGGAAATGGACTCGAGGCCTTTAGGGAGGCAGTTGCTTGTGTGAATTGGGCTCATGTCGTCGCCATGACAGATACAAACGTCGCATACAACACATTTTTTGGAAAATTTGTAGAAATATACAATACTTATTTTCCAACCCGCGCCTGTTTCCCATCTAAAAAAGCAAAAAAAGAGTGGATTAGGTCAAGCTTATTGAAAAAAATTCGGAAGAAAAATTAAATGTACAAAAAATTTGTTGAACAGCGTAATCAAGAACTATTTTCGCAGTTTGAACTATACAGAAATAAACTCAACAAAGAATTACAACAGGCAAGAGATGCGTACTATTACGCTCTGTTTGAATCCTGTCAAGATGACGTGAAAAAAATGTGGACACAAATAAATACGGTAGTTTTGCAGTCGAACAATGTCATAGCTCCCGTTGAGATTGTTGTTGTTGGAGCTAGCGTCACGGGCAAAGACATGTGTGATGCCTTTAACGATCATTTTGTTAGCCGCAGGACTGAATGTGCTGCACCGCCAAATGAAAATTCCTATTTTTATAACAGTAATTGCATGTTTATGAACCCAGTGACATGCTCAGAAGTTTATTCTGTTTTTATGAATATGAAAAATTCTCAAAGCCGGGATGCAGATGACGTCCAGATAAAGCCGGTGAAATACGTCCTTGATATATTAACTCCAATACTTACAGACATCTTTAACCTCTGCCTTAATTCAGGCGTTTTTCCCACCGAAATGCAAAAGGCAAAAGTGTCCGCCCTTTTTAAAAAGGGAGACAGGAGATGTGCGTCAAACTATCGACCCGTGTCAATATTGCCGGTATTTTCTAAAGGGCTTGAAAAAATAATTCAGATTCGGATGTCATCATTTTGTAAAACTCATAAATTAGTTTCTGACGATCAATACGGCTTTGTAACACACAAATCTACGGAATTAGCACTACTTCAACAAAAAGAATACGTATTACGCTCCTTTGAAGAAAAGAAAGTTGTTCTAGGCGTGTTCATAGATTTTTCTCAGGCATTCGATTGCATTAATCACAACATACTTTTATAGAAACTTGATAGGTATGGCTTCCGCGGTTGTGTTCACTCTTTACTCGCCTCTTACTTAGCCAGTCGCACACAGTATGTTTGTATTGATACCCACAAATCATCTGTTAAGCGTATAACAGCTGGAGTTCCACAGGGGAGTATATTAGGACCTTTGTTGTTTAGTTTATATATTAATGATATTTTAAGCTTATGTCAACAAGCTAAGTGCATTTTGTATGCCGATGATATGACCATACTTTTTTCGTTGGACTCGTCTGACCAGATCGGAAGGGTAACTAACGCTGTCTTGCAGTCTATTCAATGCTGGTCAATTACTAATCGATTAAAAATAAACGCAAACAAGTCTAAAGCTATACTGTTTCGACCCCGAAATAAACAAATCATTGTTCCGCAGTATGTTAAATTTGGTTCTGACTCAATAGAAATCGTGGAATGCCTGAAGGTATTAGGAGTGTACTTCAGTAGTCACCTTACTTCGGATGACCACGTTAATTCTGTAATGATAAAATTGTCTCGCATTGCAGGAATTCTTAGCAAACACCGCCACTTAATTCCACTTAAAGTTAAGTTACTGCTTTATAAATCTTTGTTTGAATCTTATCTAAATTACGCTCACCTAGTTTGGGGAACTGCTACGCTTGCTAATAAAAATAGACTCAATTTACTGCAAAAAAAATCCTTGCGTTCCATTTGGAATTTGAGCTTCTCGGCCCACACTGGTCATTTATTTCAGAAATACTGCATTACCAAAATTTTCGATCTTTATAATGTAAGATTAGCTCTTAGCTTCAAGAAAGAACTAGCGAAAAATTGCAAAAATTTATCCGAGCTGGCCTGCCTTCGCCCGAATGCGCCTGTATACACTTGCAGAAACACTGAACGATGGCACGTGCCCACCTTTCGTACATCATACGGTCTGCAAACATTATCTAATACTTTGCCGCGCTTACTGAACAAACTGGAAGCAAGAAACATAGATATGACGCGTACTTCCAAAAAGGAAGTGCGTAGATTGATAGCGTCATCCTGGTAGGGTTTCTTTTTTTTTTTTTTTTTTACGTCGCCCATTTTGTTATCGCCAAGTGTCTATCGATTCTGCCTTGCGGACCTTCGTTACAGACCTTCTTTTTACTCCTTCTCTTTGCTACTCAAATTTTTCGCGCCTTCAACAACAAACATTACTTTTTTTTCTGTGTGTACCGTTTTAATGCATTATGCATCCAATTTTTCGGGCCTTCAATTACTAGCCGTTGGTTTTCCTATGTGTAACATTTTAGTGCATATGCATCTCAGTGTGGGTGATACCCTGATTGGTGTAACCATTTTTTTTTTTTTTGAAGCGCTTATTCCTGTTCTGTTGTGTGCAGTAGCTCATATGTATACTTTTTATTACCAGTCTTTCTTTTACCGGTGCATCTTTTTTTGTAAATTGACACTATTTGCACTTTTGTATGTTTCAGTATTGCCTCGTCGTTTCTTTTTTTCTTGTTTGTAGCGTTCCCATGTTTTTCGAATACAATATCGTTTCTTTGTTTAGTTGTTAGCGTGCATATATTTTTTTTACTTGCATATTTTTGTTATCGCAATAGAATTGCGATACTTTGGTGTGTTGTGTCTATTACTGTAAATTTCTATAGCATGCATATCTGCCGTCTGCTGCTGACGTTTGAATTGGGCTGACGGGCCTGTCAAGCTGCTTGTATGCAGCTTTTGTACTCAGCCTTTCAATGTATTCACGATAAATAAATAAATAAAGACTCGCACATCGGCGTTCGTATGGTCTGTTGCGTTCCTGTGGTCAAGCGTCTGTTTTGCACAAATATCAGAGGCCACTTTTAAAGAAACACGTGGTTGAGATGTGCTCAACTGGGCGTGGCAACGATTCAACTGTTAACAAAAAAATATTACACTGAAGTAATTCAATCAAATAATTAATTATATTTATTTCTTGTCCTGGCACTCTTTAACCATCGAATGGCCCTGGCATCATAAAACATTATATATCATCATCATTTCATTCCATTAATTCTCATTAATGATCACAGTTATTCAGGCTCTTCTGTAAACATATGCTCCGGTGCCATATCTATTCAATATAACTCATAAGTTGAAGCATAAATATTGTTTTCATGCTAGTTTTATTTTTATAACCAATTTTGTCAATGTTCGAAAAACCAGAAGTAAGTGCTCATTTGGAAGTGCTTGCAAGAGAAACGAGAGAGTCACTCACTGCCTGTGCCACAAATAATCATTGTGGCACTTCAGGGAATCCTGAGCGCTGCTTCTGCAAATATGTCAGAGTTCAGTCGGTTTAGCGTCCGAATACTAGTTCAAAGACGTTAAACACCTCAATTTTCTTCTTCTTATTTTCTATTTTCAGAGCGAGGTTTATCACTACAGGACCATGAGTGAAGCCACCAGAGACATCTACAGAACAAGTGGTCTGCGAGGTAGGCACTCGGGTGACCATTTGTGAAAATGTCTAAATGTTGATAAACCGCTCATTTTCTGCAGTTGAAGCAGTCTCTGCACTGCTGCAAGGCTGACGGTTCTGCCTATTTGTCAATATAATAATGGCCTCCAAGTCTCTTTGTTAATGACATGTATCATCTTGTCTATAAGATACAAACGACAACTAGCGCAGTCGCTAGCACTCTTAAACATCACACACACATTTTATACGGTTTTTTGCATTCTTTATGGTGTAGAAAGGGTTTAGCTAGCTCCTATCTATGTGATGGGTACACCTGGTCTGGTTTGATTTGACCTATCAGGCTAAAGCTTCCAAGTTTTCTTCACTGTAATGAAGGCCCCGCCATATTTCAGAGGTTGTGGCCGAAGAGTTTTGTCATTGAGCGGTCTGTTGTTTCTCAACCTTTTGAGTTCTCCACTATTTCCAGTGGACAACAGTAGTGACATCTTGTTCCTTTTTTTAGCTCGGTATCAGAAATAGTTTTTTGGTTCCAACTCATGTCGATGCGTATATTTTAGTCCTTAGTGTTAATTTTAGCATGAACACTGCTGTGCACGTACATTTGGATTTTTACGTGGTTCAAAATTTTTTCGTTGTTCTTAAAAAAAAGAAATGCTTTGTTGTCCGTGCGACTTTTCTAAATGTTATTTCTGTTGTACCATCATGCAGTAACTAATAGACCAGCTTCCACACAAATTACGACAGCCTTATTGTTGATGACTTGTACAGCTTGAATGCCACCATGAACGTCGGAAAAGAATAGAGAGAGAGAAATGGCACAACTTGCGCCTTCTAACGAGAATGCAAGACATAATGACATACAGTTAAACCTCTTTATAAGAGGCATGCTGTGGGCAACGATTCTTCTATCTTATATGGGGCGTCTCTCATAAACAAAGTATCTCGTATGCACTTTCTTATCGACCACTATATTACTGTAGCAACATTGGTGTCTCTTATACCCATTTGTCTCTTGTATCAGGGTCTCTTGTAAAGGGATTCTACTGTACATGTTCAACTGTATAGTAATGCACCTTGTACACTTGAAACCTTTTAATTGGTTGTTTAGTACTTAGCTTGCAATTCTGACTGTTGTTCTTCATTGCAGGTCTTTACTCCGGTCTCGTTCCGACCTTGGTTCGGGACGCTCCGTATTCGGGTATCTACCTCGTCTTCTACGTGCAGGCAAAGCGCTTTGTCCCCGAAAGTGAGATTTTCTTTTGTGCACAAAGTGTTCGCATGTGCACGTCCTTTATATTCACTGAATTGCATGCAGTGATCACCGTCTGAAGTTGAATCGAGTGATACAAGTACTCAAGGCAGAGGCCTAAAACACGGGATGCAGACAAGCACGCCCGCGTCCTGTTTGAGTGTTCGCACCAGTAAATTCAACTTCAAACTGACTAGCCCGATGGTAGATGCTGCCAAGTCCTCACCATTATCTGCTGACATTTTTTTATGCCAGCAGCATGCGAAAACTTGCAAGCGAACACAAACTTCAGAAGTCAGAAACTGTGCCCTGGGCAACGGAACAAACAAACAAATAAAAATATCTCGGGCAAAAACTTTGAGCCTCTTTATAATACTTAAACTTATAATGTAACTATAAATAAAGTGCTATAGTTAAAGAATAAAGCTTAGTTTGTCATTATATGCAGCAGCATATTTAGGGGGTTGTTTAGGTGGCCTTGTGTGTTGTGTCTCTCGGCGGCATGTTATGAACGATTTGTATAAATGGCGCTATCTGTTCCTAATGTTGCTTCATGGTGCTTTCTTTGTTATGTGTGTCCTGTAATGGAGGTTTACAAGGGAAAAAAAGACAGAACAGTAACCAGATTCGCGTGCCTGCCTTCTTCATTGTGCTAAGCACACTCAAAGATGCACTTAATGCAAATGCATCAAGACGACATTCTAGTGTGACATTAAGTGCACCTCATGCAATGCAGCAATGTGCATTAAGATTCCACCATTCATGTTAATGTGACATGTGGGTCTTGTCTTATCATGAGTGCTTTGGACTAAACCACGAAAGCCCAATAGGGGAACTTCATTGCAGGAATAGAGAGAGGTAGGAATAAGTTAGCATGTATTGGTCTGACTCTGCACAGGGAACAATGATAAGGTGGAAAAAAAGAGTGGCATTTTCTTGTGAGACATCACTGTACAAAAGATAAAGACTCGGTTCATCAAAAAATTCTACAGTCGAACTCCGCTACAACGAATGCCGCTTCAAAGAAAAAATCACGATTCCCCGTCAGCAGTCCATAGGAGTCAATGCATAAATATTGTCGCCACAACGAACACTTTTTCTTCGATTGTCCCGCTTCAACAAAATTTTACCATGCAATTTCAGGCTCAGATACTTATTGCTATGCAGTAAACCCAATCTTTAACATTTCAATGCAATTTCAGAGTGCGAAAGTGCGTCAACGAAGTTTAAAACACGTGTTGGCACCACCAGAAACCGCTGCTATACCGCCGCTGTTCAGCAAACATAGGCGCCGCAATTGATCGATAGTGATGGCAATGAGACTGCCCTGCTTTTGTTTTGCCACTGACTTGCTTTTGAGCCGCAGACGATCCGAAGTTGAAGCTCAGTCACTCAGTTCATGGTTCATGGCTCAGGCACCGTGGCACGATGCCTTTTCCGATTCTGATGCTTATCATCATGTTCGCCCTTGGCCAGTGTGGTAACTAATCAGAGCGGCTGTTCGTCTGCATTATCAACAAAATCAGCTAGCCGCGAGTGATGGATGATAAGAATGGCATAGAATAATGCAAAATTCGCTGCTCCACGATACCCTGCCTCCATCTCGGCGTTCTCGGACACTTTTGACGGCGTACAGCTGCTGGTGTTAACGTGTTAATGCAACTGTTTGGTTCGTTCATGAAAGTGGTTTTAGGCATTGTTTCAGCGTGCTTTTCATCATGGCCTCGCTATGCATGGGTGAGAATTTTGAGATTAAACATTCCTTTGTTTTACTGGCTCAGATCAGCAATATTTTTTTTCTATTTCACTGCAACGAAATTTTCGCTTCAACTAAACTTTTTCCGCACCCTGTCAGTTTCGTTGTAGCGGGGTTCAACTGTACTAACTACTCTGGCAATTAGGAGCCACTTAGGACATGTTAGAACTTGAAGCAGCGAAAAGCTAATTGATGTGTGACAAGAGAAAGTAGGCGTTCAAGTACAGACAAGGCAAAAGTGGTCAAGGCAACACAAGTGCGACGATGAAGGGAAAAGGCACACTGCAGTGGAAAGAAGGTAGACACAAAGTCATCTGCACATGCAAGGGCATGGAGCGCACCTGTCTGCACGGAGCGCCTGCGCATGTGCGGAGAAGTTTTTACGTCATTATTTTCAGCCTTAGTGCACCTCTTCAGTTCGCCATCAGCATTTTCGTTGCCTCGACACCCTTCTCTTGCATCTGTATTTGCACACTTACCTACTTTAGTCACGGACAGGTTGAAAGACGTATCCTCTATGTGTTTATGTGTAAACGTCGACTGTTTCTTGTCGCAGTAGCAGCTACTCTCTGCTAAAAGGACGTGTGCTGCTTATCTTGTCCGTCCAGGAGTGAAGGAAGGGAGCCACCTGGTTGCCGCCAACTTCACCTGCGGTGTGGTCGCCGGCCTGCTCGCCTCGGTCGTCACGCAGCCGGCCGACGTGATCAAGACCCACATGCAGTTGCAACCAGCCAAGTTCCAAAGCATCCTCACTACTATCCTCCTAATAGCTAAGGTATTTAGTTTACTTAATTAACTACATTATGCATGCCTCAGCCTCACTCAGTGCTTAAGCAGGAGTTGGAATAACATGCAGGTTTCCAAATTTTAGTAAAACTAATGCACAAACAAAAGTTTTTTGAAGCAATCGACTGAGCGTGAAAGTTTTGAGATATTCGATCGGTGCATTGGTGGCAAAACAGATGGCTTGCCGATTTAACTTGCATGACACTATTGTGTTGCCTTACATCTGCAGCACGAGGCACTCAAGTACGTTAGGACAAGTGTTGCATTAATATTGGCTTTTATGTGCGATAGTAGTCGCAGTTCTATTAGCATCTTATGTTATACAGTCGATCACGGATATATCGAGCTCGCAGGGGATCGTGAAATAGTTCGGTATATTGATAGTTGGAAATACTACAAAATATGCGCATTTAAGGCCCAAATTAAAGATAGGCCTCAGAAAGAGTTACAAGGGCTAACATGATAATTTACTCACAGTATAATGAAGCACATGGTGTGAACTGTAAGTTACTGCGCTTTATATCGCATGAAAATAGTCCATAAGCTTGTCCTGCTTCTTGTGCACCGTCAAATTTCAGTCATCCTCAATATTATTGAAGCTTTCCAAATCAGCGAATTCAGCTCTTTTGGCCACAACAGCAATGATTGACGCAGAACGCTGATGCAAGCTTTGTAGCATGGCAAAAGGCTGGTTAGCGGTGGCAGCGAAGGCGTTGGCATATTCATAACTGCAGGGGAACACTTCCACGCCACCGGCAATGGCAGCCATGATCTGAGCATCGATGCAGTCAGAAACAGCTACGTCGTCATCTGCACCGATGAAGTCGCTCACTGTTCTAGATGGTGCCCGGAAATGCTGATAAGTCGCAGACTTCACTCAGGCACCGTATGCCGTTTTCAGTGGTGATGATGCACCCGAAGTCATCACCTGGCCTGCAAAAAAAGTTTACGACAGGGCTTTACTTGGCGTGGCTCCAAGCATCAGTCACAATTTTCATCGCATGCATAAAGTATAAGGAAGCACAGCACACATGAAGGGACACGTCAGGGCTTAACTTCAAACTGCTTATTTTATGCCCTTAAGGGGGGACACGGGTCTTTGGAGCCGAAAAATCGCCAAAAAAGCAATTTTTTGTAAACAGCATTTTCAGAAACTACAGGTATTTTTTTACAGGTGTACTAACTTTCATATCTCTCCGATCAATATTTTAGCTGTAATATTAAATTCCTAGCCCGTGCGCGTGCGGAATTCGCGCAGCTCCGGACACCAAAAACCAGCTTTTTATAAATTCGTAACTCCATGTCCACAGCTGCACTCGCGGCCATTTTGGTATCGTTTGAAAGAGCAGTTTTTCGCCTTCAAATTCCCGCCACTGTCGCTTCTGTGCGTTCATTGGTTGCGGAGAAAACAACCATCAAAAAAGAGTAAAAACGCATGCTACGATTGGTTGTTTAGTGCACGTGACCGTTTCTCAGAGCATGATTGGCTGAAGTCGGCTTGTGGCGTCTGCTCTGGCTGCGTTGTGCGCGCTTTGCTGGCCCCCGTCGGCGCCATTCCTGAAGTCAATGAGGGTGGCGAATTGGGCTTGTTGGTATGGTTGCATGATGATGGATGGTAGCGCAGACAACGAACACGGACAAGAGAACAAGAGTGTTGTGACAAGAGTGTTGTGTCTATGTGCCTTCTCTTGTCCGTGTTCGTTGTCTGCGCTACCATCCATCATCATGCGCCATTCCTGAATTCTGCGATCGACGATGGAGCGGTGTGCGTCGGCGTCTCGAGCGGGAAAGTTCCACTCAACAGATTCGGAAAGAAAAGAAAAAAAAGCCTCATCGCTAACACCACGAAGCGTCGGGCAGCACCAGCAGCGAGCGTCGAGGACGGCCGGTCATCAGCGCCAAGCATCGCCGCCGCCGAGCCAGCTGGTGTAGGCCTAACGGCTCCACCAGCGTGTGAAAGTGCGAGTGGAAGTGGCCGCGTTCGCATTGATACAAAAATCCTGCAGCCAGCAGAGTTGCACGAAAATGCGAGAAATGCCGAAGCCAAGCTACAAGAGCTGGCGTCAATTTCAGCAACGACGCGAAAACAAGATCGCCTGGCTGCTGCCAGTGACGGTGCCGCGGCCGACTCGGCTGACAACGTGAGCTTCGTCGTCATCAGCTTAGACTGTGTGAATGACTTGTTGAGGTGCGTGAAGTGTAAAACTTGCGGCGGTGATGTGAATATCAGCAAATGCGATCGGGAGTACGGTCTGGCTGTGAAGCTTTTGATTACGTGCGTCAACTGTGGTGACATTTCGTCAGCGTGGAGTTCGCCGCGTGTGGCCGGGGACCAAAACATAAACCCATTCAGCGTCAACATCCTCGCAGCGCGTGCAATGCAAAGCACCGGCAATCGTCAAACGGCGCTCAACGACATTTGTTCTGCCATGAATATATCGCACCGGGGTCTGCACACGAAGACGTGGCAAAACTATGTGAAAAAAAAACTGACGCCTGCAGTGGCCTCTGCTTCCGAGGAGTTGATGACCGAGTGCGCGAGTTCCGTTCGAGAGCTCTATCGCGAGCTCGGTACAAACATACCTGGCAACATCGCCGTTTCCTACGATGGGTCTTGGATGACTCGCGGACATTCTTCCCACATCGGCGTCGGAACGGTGATTGAGCTTTTTACAGGGTTTGTATTGGACTATGTTGTCTTGAGCAATTTCTGTGCAGCCTGTGAGCAGAAGCCTAAGGAGAACGACCCTTCGTAGTTCAATGCTGGCTATACAAGAGCTGCAACAGGCATCCTCAAAAAGCTCAGCCTGACCCCTGGCCGGCAAAACTCAAAACGCCTGGCAGAGAAGGACAAGCGGAGGATGACCGCATCTGCTCGAAAGCATGTGTCGGCTGAAAATGTGAAGCAGGCCCTGGGAAAGCGCCACAGAGTTGACAAAGGTCAAAAGGACTATGTTCCTGGTGGATACTAGGCACTTGCTAGTGTAAGCATGTAAATATTTCCTGGTGTTTCCCATTAAATTTGACATTTTGTGTTTTTGCTCATTTTCTCAAAAGCTGAATTTCTGACTTCTTGCAAGCTTGCCGAAGCAATATCTCAGCACTGCGGGTAGATAGAGCTATAATTCTTTTTTTAGGACAAAGCCAATGGGGTGGTGTTTGCAATGTAGCAAACAGATTTTTGAAATTTCTTTCGAGCAAATTTTAAATTTGCTTTATTTCTGGGTGACTGGTGGCACTATTTCAAGTGCTCAAGTTCAGTTAGCTGTAAAATCTCTTACAAGCAATTAATAAAAAAACTGCTTGCTATGTTGCAATCACCAGTGTTTCTAGTATCTGACATATGCAGATTATAGTTTTTTGATAAATACTTTTTTTTCTATTGTTACGGAAGAACATGGCGGATTACCTCTAATTATCTTGAGAACTAATTGGCTGATGGAAAAAATAATTGCATATTTCAAATCAGCAGAAAAAAAGCAACAAGACTGGCAAGTTTCGTTAAGTTTGCTTAAAAAGTAAGCGAAATTGTTTCAAGACCCATGTCCCCCCTTAAGAGTATTTGTGTTGTAAGCACCAAATATCAACTCATTGTGCATCATTGAGTTCACGTATCTTGTGTTACGAACACGTGCAAAATGACTCGTGTTGTGGTGGTGCATTTTCTTCACTTTTATCAGTCATACTACCACATTCTGCAGTAATGGAATGCCAACTCGCTCGAACAGCAACGTCTCAGAACACCATCTGTGTTTTTGCAAGCAGTCATAGCAGAGCCGTGCTGTTACTTTGCAGGAGGAAGGCGTGGTGGGGTATTTCCGTGGACTGGTACCGAGGATGCTGCGAAGGACACTGGTCACCGCCATGGCTTGGTCATTCTATGAACAGGCAAGTCGTTGCATCTCTCGTGGTACGCTTGGCGTGGTGGTTGAGAACCACAGCTTCAACAAGTTCAACACAAAAGGATATTAAAGACGAATAGGGTATGCCGAAGAAGATGACACGATTGCAAAGCTACCTTCGTTGTCTCTTATTAGTGCCTCTTGGCTTTGAAATTGAATATGAACTTGCCATAATGATGTGAACAAAAGACGTGCACAATACAAGTACCTTGAAACCCTGACAAAGCACCCTCCCCTGCTGTGAAAAATAATCTGACAAGATTTGTAGGGACGGCCTTTACTCGGTCGTGGATCGAAAGCTTGAGGTGGTGGCAAAACAGCTGCTTAGTATATTAAGAATGCACACCAATTAAGTGCTTGAATGAATGCGCACTCATGAATTGCTTTTATTTTCGCTCGACGGGCAAAAGAAAAACAATGAAAATGGCAGGAACAAAGGAAGGGGGTGTGCTTGCTCAGTCAGTGGTGTCTATTTCAAAGAGCTCTTGAAAAAAAAAAAGACGGGTCGCTTGCTTGGGTCGGAGCGCTCGCATGGGATCTTACGGCATTGACTGCTAGGCAAATTTCTTCTTGCCCTGAGATGTTGTGGGACTTCGGGGGGTTTCTCAGCCGGTCACTCCATATGCTGTGCCACAAGATTGTCATGTCTATATTTAAGAATATTACAGGCTAACAGAAGGTGACTGTGTGTTAACAGAGAGTGTTTGAGTTCCGTACAGCAGCATTATGCGGAGTAGTTCAATCTGTCACACGAAAGTTGGTAAAAGAATGTTTGGAAGTACTAGTTCATTGTCATGGCAGTCATCATGTCAAATGAAATGCTCTTATAAATAAGAGACACAGTATCTAAGTTTTAAAAATGGGAACGAAAATAATAGATTAGAGCTTTCTTAAATTATCGGTGTAAAACGGACCCAGGTGTGCAAAAGCACCATTGAATTCGTGATATCAAACTGACATCAGAGCCTGGGTTCAAACATAAAATTTGGGAGAAGTTTGGAGTTTGATGGCTCTCTCCATTCACACTTAACTTTGGGCTTACAAGATTATTTACATGGGCATATATTAAGTTTCAAAACACTAATTTGTGTGAACCTCCCATTCCTTATTAGCATACATAAGGTATACGTAGACTCGTTTTAAACGAAACATGAAGGGACCAGGAAAAGAGGTTTCATTTAAGAGGAGTTTCGTTTACTGAGAGATAAACAGGGGTACAATATTCAAGTATGAAACCAATCATAGTAGAGGCAGTTGTTCCATTTAAGCAGCAATTTCGTTTAAACAAAGTTTCATTTAATGGGAGTCTACTGTAATGTGTAATCATTTGAGGCGAACACGTTGCAACAGACAATTGGCTATAAGAAGCTCTGCATACATAAATTTATATTTATTACCCTGTATATATTTAGTTATATTTTATCTCCATGGTTGATCATGTATTCATTAATAGTGTATTGGCTTTTTTTTTTTCAACTCTGAAAACTCTGCTTCCATAGTTTTGTTAAATTTGTGTTTACCATGCTATACCCATGATTGTAATTTCCGCTCTTCTGCAATCCTTTATGCGTACTTGCAATATTTACAAAATAATTGATAATTAATGAATGGAAGTTGATAAGACAGTGCATACGTGGAACCGTGCTTAGAAGAGACACCTCATATAAAACACCAGAATTACGACCCGGTGCATGTTTTTTGTTAAGGGATTGAGTGGTAATGGAAAGAATGTCTTGAAAGCGATACAGTTCTCTCACGGTGCTTTTGTATTGTTTGCTTTTCAGGCTGTGACTACGTGACGCCTGCTTATGCCGTGGCGTTGTTCTTGTCTGTGTTGTGTGGCAAGTAGTGTCTTTTGTCTGCTTTCGGTCTTGTCAGTTTGTTTGGCCGTGTGACGCTGTGTTTTGCTGTGACGTCCGTACCGTCGTGTAAAGACGTGCTATCTGACAACACGAGTGGAAGTTAGAAGTGTGGCAGCTTGGGCTAGTTGGTATGACATGACGATAGTTATAGCGCGAGAACAGAACGACAATACAGAGACCGTGTCCTTCTTGTCTCTTTGTCGTCGTTCTGTTCGCGCGCTGTAACTATCGTCACGAGAGGAAGGCTTAGAAACTGCACCACGATGTGCTAGTAGACATTTATTGGAAAGTCAATACTTGCATATATAGCTTACCGTTATAGCATGCACCAGGCAGGTGGGGAATCCTTCGTGTAACTTTTGTGATTATCTTTCCAGGCTCGACTTATGAGAATATGTCTGTAAGTGCGTAATATTTTCACATCGTTCCAAGGCACACGATATTCAACTGCATCAAAAATATTGTCATAATATAGTTTGATTTGTTTTTTTATAGTAGTTAATGTTAATTCATTTGTAATTAAATATATTTTTTCCTGAAGTCGTGTTCTGCTTGAGTATATTAAAGAATCTAACTTTATCCTAGAATTATATTGTGATTTCGTGATCAGTAATATTAGTTTTTAGCAAATAAATATTTATTTGGCATGGATCACGGTGGTGGTACATTGAACGTCTCATTGAACATGGTAGTTCCTTCAGTAAAATGGTCATATGCTACAGTACACTGCAAATTTATGTTAAAATGAAGACACTTCTATTAAGCAGGAGGTTTAGTTCAACCAAACCTTATTGTACCTAACTCAACATATTATATTTGCACAGTGCGAGACTATGGTAAATATGTTGATTTCCTATCACCAACTAGCCCAAGAATCTGTCTTATCAAGTACCTAACTATTTCTTTGTGGCTAATTGACACAATTAGCACAGACACCTTGCATGCACTATTGTGCTAAAGGCACCTCGTATGATTAAGGCAATTTCTCCACAAGCAATAAATAAACGATGAAAACGGGGAAGACAGTAGAGGTATCCGAAACATGTGAAAGCTTTGCGCAACTTTAATCTCCGAGAATGGAGAATTCAAAACTGTCCGAGGTAGGCTTTTTCAAAGATTTAAAAAGCAGTGTGGCAGCTCTTTATTCCTGCCCTCTTTTTTTTTTTTTACCGAATATTGCATAGACACTGCATATGCAAATGCTCATTGCTGATATATGCGAACTTTTTTCATCTCTTCTTTAGGTTACCAAGGGATTCATCAAGAAATGAACCAAGAAATCAGTCTTTCAGTGTGCTGGAGCCAACAAAAGAAAAAAAAGTCGTCTTGCGATCTTTCGTTCTAGCGATGACAATCCTGCATGGCACCTCAGGGCCAGATTTCATGCAGAGTCCCCGATACACACTAGGGTTCCTCAATGTAGATACATCTCTCACTGTTTGTTACTCAGTCTAGTCATTTGTGCTTCAAGCTTGTCTTAAAGGTCGTCAGTTCATGCAAACAGTGTTGAGTAAGATCTGTGATTGAACTTAACCCTTTAGTTATAATGGCTGCACACTTTGGGACATCATTCTGTCGCCCAACGAAAATTGTTGCCCAAGTCACTTACGGTTCTCTTTCTTGAAAACCCCGTGCTTGCTACTTTCCTGTTAAGATTGCTACGCCACTTTGAAAACACGTGCACTTCTTGTGAATGAAAGCTATGACGTGCGCGGCGTTAAGATGCAACAAAGACGATTGTCATTGTGACAGAAATATGTCCTAGAGGGTGTCACTCTTTTCACAATAAACACAGTTCATGACGAGGTCGCTCATTAGGTAGTTCCTAAACTGATTTTTGAGGGTTTTGGTGGCTTGTATTGTCATGTTCCATGTTCATTCCAATTACCATGCCTCGAGCACAGCAAGTCCCTTGGCTTTCTTTTCATGGCTTCGTTATAGAGTGGCTCACTTAATTGCTTGCTCATTTACAAACTAAAGATATCACTTATTCGCCAGCCATGCGAATCCCCCTTTTTTTAAAGCTGCGGTCATTCGGAGCATCGTGGTGGCCACAATTATACTGCTCTCGGGCTTGGTGGGGAACATGGAGTGAGCATTTTGTAATGGTTGAATGTGAACATGCGCAAGAAATGTTTTTCCTTGTTCTCCGCAACGACTAAGCACACTTCTATCCACGGGGGGTTGAATTATTCGTTAAAGCGTGATCTCTGCTCGTCTCTTGCGATGTTTGGAAATGCCTTGCTGCAAATGCTTTTGGAATACAGAGAAGTGAAAAGCCAAACTTCACGTCATGATGCTGTAAGCAACTTCAGTATATGTAGTTTTACAATGCGGTCATGACTGCTTAAGAGTAGTGGCAATGAACATGTTTCATGAACATTTTTAGACCTTAATGGCATGATGCTGGCCCAGCCATGATTTGCTAATTTGAGATGTGTGAGCGGCATGTAGAGCAAGTCACTGGTACGCTTTTCTTTCATAACGCTGTCAGGTCATTTGTGTTCAGAGCAGGCTGTACTTCGTCTGTGAGTTCGCCTATGACAAGCGAAATGACTACTAAAGAAACTCAATTGACTTGGGAATAAATAGGTTGTTCCACTGTACAAATCAGTCCAGAAGGCAGGTTAGTGAAATACATTCAGAGGAGAATTCAACATTGTTTTGCTCATCAGTCTAGCTAAAAAAAAAGCGGACCTGCATTGTTTGTAAGGTGCGGTATTATTTCAACTGCGTGCAAAAGTAAAGTCACGCAAGAGTGGCCTATGTCGCAGTATTGCGGCTTGCGTCGTGCGGCCATCTCTGGCGCCTTATGCTACTGTTCTCATTGCATGTACCACACTGTGTCAAACACTCTTTTCTTTGTAAAGAGTTTATTTTTTCACATCTTTTCATAACATTTTGTACAGATGGAAGTATGATCTTTTCTTAACATATACGCGTGCTCTGAAGCAGTCGTGTCCAGGTTTGCTGACTGAGTGGCTTGTCAACTCGATCTAATCGGCAGAGTCTTGGAACTAGTGCTTAACTAGCATTTGTCAGGTGTTACATCAAGTGCTTATCTTCTCTGATCAGCTGCATGTGCCTTTAGACTCTTTTATCAGAGTCGTTTCGTGTATTGTTATTGTGAGATGCAAATGTTCCTTGTGGGTATGTCAAAATAAATAGTTTTTTTATCGCATGATGCTGTTCTCACTGTCTTAAGAATTGGGAATATATTTTTGTTAGCCTACCTTTTCATGATTCTGAATTATATTCTCCAGACAGGCAGGCGGCTGTCAATATTTGAATTTCTCATCATCCGTTGGCAAGACTTGCGCACAGAATATTTTTCTGATCTCTATTCGTGCTACATATATTCAAATGTGGAATTTTTTATTGGTCACTAGCGTCATCATTTTCCGGCAAAAATGGCGTCATTGCTAACATATGTCGAGCCTGGTCCAAGGAAGGAAAATGGGAGGAAAAGGAACGGCAGGGAGGTTGACCAGCCTATAGGCAGCCGGTTTGCTACCCTGCACATGAGAGGGGGATGGGGGAGATGAAAGATAAAGAGAGATAAACACGGCTCATTAGGCAGCACACGAGAGCCTGGTCCAATATAAACATAATAGGCATGGTCCCTCTATGATTTAGGAGGGCAAAAATGGATGAAATGAGGAGAGAGTGACCTCCCTAGCTTTCTTTTTAATTTGTTGAATGATTTGCGCGACCTTTTAATAAAATACACAGTGGAACAGAAATTAAACTAGTTATTGACACGAGATTTTGCAGCTACTAGAGTTGCTGTGTGTGTCAACTGCGTCAGCATCCGCAAGAGGGAAACTCGTACGTCGGGCTCCTCTACTTCTAACGCGCCCAGATGAAGCGCATTGCGGGCAACGTCTCAGTTTAAATTAAATAGTTATATTGTTCAAACTGAAATGTGCCGTCGACATTTCGCACGTCTGTAAATCGCCCTTTGACAGCAATAAACGCCGACGCATGTACAGCTGATTGTGCAGAATAACGGTATATACATACCAACAAACGCAAAATTACCGGTAAACGTTCAAAAGAAAAGTTTATACGAAAGGCAAACCTGTTTTGCTGAAGAATGAGTCCACTCTTATTCGATTGTGCGTTTGTTTGTGGCCGTGCAAAGGATACTGTACTGACCAAAAACGGCCTTACATAATTGCACATAATAATGATAATAATAATAAATGGCTGCGAAAAAAGAAAAAAAGACAGAACTTGTACGGAAAACGACAATGATTGGAGATCATAGCTCTACGCATGCTGCAATTTGCTGAAATTGAGAGCACAACCTAGCTCATTTTTTGTCGAAAACGGAGTTACAATCATATCTACAGTAACTATAAGAGTTAGAGTTCGACAGTGAACACGCCTCGCTTTTGCGCTAACTTCTGCGTTAATATATCAACTCTGGCAGCCATCTAATGTATCGTAGTACCTCCAGGTTCAGCTTTATTTGTAACTTGTACCTAAGTGAAAAATTTGTGCCACGCGACGCGAGTGAGTAGTGTTTAAGATTCGCATTACAACAACTACATAACCAGCGACATAACTGGCAATTGCCAATGTTGAAGGCTATAGTTTTGTTTGGGACAACGTTCGACTACGTCATGAGAGCCATGTTTTCGTCAACATATTTTTTGAAGTCTTTAGTGAAAGAGCGTCACAAAAAAGCAATTATTTATCCAAAAAAGACAACATTAGCGCTTGTTTTGTCAGTTTTTACTTGTTTATTGTTTTTGTAGCACTCTTATGTTTATTAGTATGGTTTTTAGTATTCTTGAAGCTTTTATACTGCTACGCAAGGTGTCAGTATAACCGCAAACGACAATGGCTGGTGCTGCTGTTCATTTTGTTGCGGCCGCCCGACGAACTAATCCAAAACGCCGGCGATTCCCGACTTCCTGCCTGGCCATCCCGCTAATCGAACTCACTTCCGCTTTCCTCGAGAAACCACCGACGACGCGAGGAACATGGCTGGCGGCAGCGCGGACGTACAGTTCGGCGTCCGCGCATTCAGCAAGATGATCATGCACTGCCTCAAGTACCCGCAGAACTCCGTCAACGGCGTCCTGCTCGCCGACGAACGACGCCGGGCGGGCGACCAGCCACCGTCTCAGCTTCACATAGTCGACAGCGTGCCGCTGTTCCACCAGTGCCTAGGACTGACGCCGATGCTCGAAGTGGCGCTCGTGCAAATCGACCAGCACTGCAAGAACGCGGGCCTTGTGATCGCCGGTTACTACCAGGCCAACGAGCACCTGAGGGACTCGGCGCCCGACCAGATTGCGCTACGCGTCGCCGACAAAGTGGCCGAAAACTTCGCCGACGCCTGCCTGGTCATGATCGACAACCAGTTGGTGTCGCTCGACTGTGAAAAGGCTCCCGTCGTGGTGTACGCCAGCCAGGACGGCCGCTGGCGCGAAAGGCCCTTCACGCTGGCCGAGAAGACGTTGGACGTGACGTCGTCCCTGTGTCGGGCAAAGGCGTACCGTGCGCTCACCGACTTCGACAACCACCTGGACGACATAAGAAGGGACTGGTGCAATCTGGAGATTAACGAGGAGATCGCCAGGTGCCTCTAGTTTACTTCCTCGCGAAGTGGACGAACCGACCACTAGATGTCCCTAGTTGTCTACGGAGACGCGCGGATTTCGTACGGACATTTGTTTTTTTGTTTTTTTCGTTGGTGGTGTTAGTGCGAGAAGGGGTTAAAGCACGGTATGTGATACCACACGTTGGGTGTCCGGATTATTTGTTTCTCTGTTTCGCAAGGTTGATAGCTCGTGAAGGCGTAGTGAAGCATTCAATTGTGCGCAGCTGCTGGTACCGCGCGAGTGGCTACGTGGTTTTCGAATCGACTGCAAATTGAAGCCGTAGTTCTATTGTCATATGCATTTGCAATGGCCCGTAATATAGTGATTACACCTGAGCACGTAGGTTGCAAAAAATTAAGAGTGCTACTTAAATTGCTGCTTTGAACGTGTCAAGTCAAAGGGTACCCTACGTGTAACGGTAAATTCCGGCATTGAAAACTACCGGCTTGATTGCAGTTAAAGTCGCGCCGGCCGCATCGCGCGCGCAATCATAAGAACAAAACATTGTATTTCTCGCAGAGGCATGCCTTGTGAAATTTCATCTGTGCTGTAAATGCGCCGCATTGTCAGGTTGATTGTATGTTGCACTTGTTTCCCCAAATAACTTTTGTTCTCAGATATTAAAATGAATGACACTGCTACGCTCTGGCCACATGTGTTCCTTATTGTGTACTTGTGTTTTGTGATCGTTATGAACGTTTTCAGGGTGATGCCTTTATTTGAAAAGACTATAAAACTCCAGAAAACGCAGCCTCGCCTAGCAATAACCTTGGACGATGAGTGACGTTGAATCCATTAGCGCGGGTTAGCCTGGCTACCTTGGGGGCCAAGGTTTTGCGGTTAAATCGAGGCTTCGATTTTGCATGACGCCTCGCAAAGCCCTTCGACGGTAGTTTCGTAACGCAATGTGTAGCTTTCACTCTCGTGTACTCAAGTCAGATTGCGATAAAAAGAAAGAGAAGTGAAATGGCTGCACAAAAAACGAAAGAACGAAGCAGGAGCGAAGAGCCTTGAGATCTTTTTTGTGAAAAGATGACAGTGAGTTAGTTATAAAAGCTAAGCCTCTTGAGTGGCGACCTTACGTACACAAAACGCCGCAGCAAACACCCATAAAGCGTGCCCATTTAGAATACATGTCCTATGGTTACTATATATGAAGTCGAGCGTTCTTCTCAGCGACATGGTACGAGGCGTACTTACAAGGGTGATTGATGTTCAAACGTATTCAGCGGCTGTACAAAATACAGCTTCCAGCACCTTCTTTCACGAAGGAATAAATGTTTCCAGCCCTTTCCGCACTCGGGTTATCTCTCGCAGGCACTCGGAGGAAGATAGAATAAAGAAGGCTGGCAGCCAAGTTAGCTACCTAATCGCCCAAGAAATAAACGCAACAAAAGGTCTCCCTCTCACCGGACGGACCGCGTTTTCGTCGTCTGCTATCACACTTGTTGCGCCTCGCTCGCAGACGACGGCCGATTGCGAGGCGGCGACGACGTCATCGCCACTCTCGACCAATCGCGGGAGTCGCGTCGGGGCGGCTTCTCAGTGTTGCTGCCTCGTTGCGAGTTGTTTCGGCCCTTGCTGCCTGGTGTAGTTCGTGGTGTTGTGGAGGGCGAAAAAAAAGTTTTATCGTGCACCAACGGACCGGAAGATGAAGGGTGCACGCTAGCGGACGAAAGTTTTTGTTGACTCCGGAGTGTTTGCTGAAGTGCTGGCTCGTTCGATGGGGCCTCGGAACTTTGTCGTCGTAACTGTGAGTGTGTGTGTGGCTCGTCCGTAAACGTCGCGGACGTAAGTACCGTCCCGTATCGCGGCGTGGCCTAGGCGCAGCTGTTTCGCCTGGCTACGGGTGAAACCGTCGGATTCGTTCGGAGGAAGCACGACCTCGAAGCGCGCTCGGTGTCGTTTCGACGAATCGCGAGTGCGCATGCACGAAAGAAACAGAAATACGAAGCCGTCTCTCCCAACCGAAAGCAACAAGCCGCCGCCTCTGCCAGCTGTGAGAGGTGAGTGATAACTTTTGTGCTCGATGTTTCCCGCGGAGTTTCGGTTACAGCGAAGTTGGCGTTGCGGTCTGGGTTTTGAAGGCTGACGCGCGCATCTACGTCTGGACAACAGCCGCACCGGTGTTTGGACCAGGAAACATACACGAGACAGAACTGTCCGGGAAGCTCTCTTGCGTGTCATTCGCGGCGCGCATGCGGTTTTGGGCGAAACATGGAACGCTGTTACCGATTTGTGCATTGTCACGCACCCGCAGGCTGCAAAATCGTCTGCTCTCCCTGGAACATTTACCTGGCGTCTGTTCTTGCAGGATCGCTGTCTGCTTCACCTGGGAAGCAGACGAACGACATCGGTATGTGACGATGCACCGCATATAGTCGTCGCTTCCAGAAGTGTCGTCTGTCGTTGAACATTCCGAAAGTTTCAAAAGTAATGAGCAACGTCTCCAAATGACTTGGCCATTTACCGATCGTCTGTTCTCGTATCACATGTTTCCCACGAACACCATACGTTTCTACGTCATTTGTTTTCCCACGATGCGCCGCAGTTTTGTAGCATTCGGAGGTGATCATCAGCCACCGGGTATTGCAGAAAAGTTTATTCTGGCAATGTTCTGACGCACGTCGTATGATCTCGGTTACTGGTTCGCGATTACGTACGAACCACTTCCAACGTACTTTAATCGATTATATTACGTGTAAGCTGCGTCACTTATACGATCATGTTGTGAGCCGCTAATGCATTGCAAGACGTGTCTGGACGCTGCGCCGTTATCGCGCGCTGCACAGCGCATTGACTTGCGAACGGCACCGTAGACCTTCTTCTTCGGGCGTCCCACGGCTTGAGGAGTTTCGTATCGCTCTGAGTGATCTGTCCTTGACGCGAGCGGGCCACAATGTAATGGTCGCGCGCTAACTATATATCTTGGGGCCAGTGCGGCGTGTTGATGGCTGCGGGGCGGGCACGAGAGATTCTTGCGATGTCTATACAGGACGCCTTATGGCGACATCATTTTTTTCTATTATTGGTGCAAATATCCGAACAGAAAAGAGCTAGAACACTACCGCGAAGTGCCGTACATTCATGGCGCGTGCGTTTTCCGCGTCGTGTGCAGACACCTTTTCGACAACCTTTTCAGTGGAAGGAATTTGGCATGCTACGCCGTTTCCTTTCTTGCCGAAATCAAAATCTTTCCCTCGCGCCGGTTGGAACAGTATGCTTTTGTTTGTTTATTAATTCTTTTAACCCTAGAAGGATCAATACAGGAATGGATGAGCAATACAGTTCAATGAGGAACATTCACGTTTACATGATGATGGGCGCTGCTCACTTCAGAGATATGCTAAGAGTAGAAAAGAGGACAAAAATAAGAACACATATGCACTCGACGCGTCAGAGCGTGTCGTTAATGGTTTAGTGTTCAATAGGGAGCCTTCGTGTGCGCGCACATGAAGGCTCCCTAGTGTTCAAGAACAATGCTTACACCATTGTGTGTCATATGGTCTAGTGGCGGCCATCATGTTGCTCATTTGCACGACTTTCTGGCCGTACTTAGCACTCCTGCTTTACGCTTTAAGCTCAGTGTTGACCGTATGCGTTGCAACTTTCCCTCTGTCATTATGGTGCGCAGTGGCGCCCCGTTCTGAAAGAGATCAGGAGAGACCCCATTGAAGGAAACTGGCGCGAACGGCCACAAGTCGTCGCGTTGTCTGCTCAAAGTACAGCAGACGATTTTTTGTTTGTCTGTTGTTGCTGCCGAGCACAGCAGACGACCTTTTCTTTTCTTCGAGCAGACGGTGAGCCGTTCGGGGTATTCCCCTGCAGACGACACTCAGACAAGGCTGCATCCAGCAGACGACGCGACGTTTTCCTGAAGCCGAACGCGCGTTGCTATATATTTCGACCAAATTACGCACCAGTGAGACGGTGTGTCTATCTCGGCGCCCCGTTATTCTTGTCGCAGCCGTCGGTGGCTGACCCCTTCGCAGAGTTGTATGGACGTACGCGGAAGAAGTGCCGGAAGCAGAAGGTACGCGCGTTTCCGTGCTACATGTGCAGACGACATCTTCAACGGCACTGCCTTATCACCTACTGTAACATTGTTCGAAATAGCGGGCGACTGATCCGAGTGCCCATTTCTTTTGTTAGATATGAAACGAACAGGCGATGTTACTCACATAAAGAACAGCGCCAATAACTAGGGACAAGAAAAGAAGGAGACAGACAGCGGCACTGACTTGCAACAAGATTTATTTGCTGGCACCGCGCAATATATACTTGAGCAGTATCTGACAAATAAGAGGAATGACAAACCACAAAGAAAACGGAATTCACCCAACAACCGAGTAATCATCGTGATAACGCGCGATGAACATCACGTGGGCCAACATTCTGAAGAAAATCTTTTTGTGATAGAGCAATCGAAGGCCTGCTGACACATAAATTGCCCAGCCTTTCCATTTCTGCGGCCTCATAAATTATCGCGTATCATCTGATCCCGATGACGCCGAATGATCGTACAATGCTGATCAGGGACACAACCGTAGTCCCGGCAATGAATGCCCAAGGTGGCCCGATACTGTAAAATGGATATTGTGGGCGTGCTCTTTCAACCGCTCATTCAAACACATTCCTGTTTGGCCAATGTATACCCACTTGCCACAGGACAGGGGTATAGAATACACCACCCCTTCGATGCATAGAACGTGCTTGTTCCGATGCTGGATTTGGCAGCCTTGCTCTCTCCTGGAACCAAGATTTACGGCCTTGCACATGCTAGCAAGCTTTTCTGAGACAGAAAAAAAAAAATCAAATCTACGTCGCACCTGCTGGCCACTTTTCTTGAGGTTGTGGGTGACGCCGTGGATACAGGGAATAACGACAAAGTTTCGTTTGTCCCGTCCCCTATCCCTTTTGCGGGTTCGAGCATTAGTCTTTGGGCTCATTCTGATTTATCGGAGTAGACACTCAGCAACGGCGGTCAAAACATACACAGGAAAACGAGCCTCGGTAAGGCGTTCAGTTTGCTGATTAAAGCTGGACCGAATCGTGTGATGGCAAGACCTTCGCAGAGCGTTGGTGTATATAGCATGTCTTCCCAATAGCGTGCTTCACACACAAAAAACGTGAACAATGACTATGAACAGAAAATGAACTCTCAGAAACGTTGCGCGTTATAGCTGCTGTGTGGTAACTATCGCATAAATGGAAACGAATTAAACTACATTACAAATCAACTCGCCGCATGCAGTTAGGGGCTCAACCTACAACGTTAGCGTTTCTGCCGCCATATGTAGTTGCGAGAGGCGCTGCCTAACATTCCCAGAATCACGGAAGCATAAGTATATACCCAATAAAGTGGGTGGCAAAACGAGCGCGCCACTGTAACCCAATTGGCAGATCATCGAACGCGTTACCTAAAGGATAACATGAACAATGTCTGTTGGGGTGTAACGTCCCAAAAAACCATGATGTGATTTTGAGGAACGCCGTAGTGAAGGGCTCCGGACATTTCGACAGCCACGGTTCTTTCACGTGCACGTAAATCTAAGTATATGCACGGGCCTCAAGTGTTTCCGCCTCCGCCGAAAATGCGACTGGGGTGCGACCCCTCGGGGTCGGAAGTCCACCACCATAACCACTATAGGCCACCGTGGTGGCTTGTCCAAAAGTTCTGGGTTTGGCGTGCGGCAAGTCAATTTTCATTGACGTCATATAATTACCGTATATTACTGTTAAAACATGACAAGACGTGAGTTCGGGTCTATAACAATATCGTTCATTTTCTTCGGGTGTACAAAACAATGGGACGGCAATGAAACAAAAAAAAAACTGTTTTGTAACTGGTACACAACCCAAGAAAACGTTGTAGGCTTCGCCCACAAGGCCACGGTGTGCCTGTCATTCGACCGTGAGAGACAGCCGTGCTGCCTGCTCTTTAAACCGCATGATACTTTTTTCTCGGCCGCTGTGAGTACTGATTGATTGATATGTGGGGTTTCACGTGCCAAAACCACCCATGTGGTTCTGTGAGACGACGTAGTTGAGGACTCCGGAAATTTCGACCACGTGGGTTGTTTCTTTAACGTGCGCCCAAATCCGAGCACATGGGCCTAAAGCATTTTCGCCTCCGTCGAAAATTCAGCCGCCGCAGCCGGGATTAGAACCCGCGACTTGCGGGTTGCCAGCCGAGTACATTAGCCACTAGACAGACCACCGCGGCGGGGCATTGTGAGTACTGTGCGTATTGGTTGTTAAAGGTCAGAATCTGTGTCGAAATTTGAAAGGACTTTCGAGTTTCTGACCCAGTGAAATTAACGTTTGTTTACATTGCCAGAGTCGACTGTCTGAATTCCTCGAGACGTGATTGACGACACCAGAGTGAGTGAGTGGAGCATTTATAGAAAATTCTCGATGGGAGGGGCCAGCAATGACTCTGGGCGGGGCTGACATCTTTTAGTTAGGTTGAAACTGAGTTTAGGTATACATAAAAAAAGCAGTTTTATTTTTGTTGGTGTGTGTATACTTATGTTACGGCAATTAGACGAAGGAAAAAAAACAGACGTTGTCGAGCACTTAGTTGGTACTATTGCGCAAACTGTGAGCGAACACGTTGTATAGAACGAATGTTGTCCCCGTGTCCACATTCTCTGGCTGTGAGCGAACACGTTATATAAAACGAATGTTGTCCCCGTGTCCACATTATCTGGCTGTGAGCGAACACGTTGTATAGAACGAATGTTGTCCCCGTGTCCACATTCTCTGGCTGTGAGCGAACACGTTATATAAAAACGAATGTTGTCCCCGTGTCCACAATCTCTGGCTGTGAGCGAACACGTTATATAAAACGAATGTTGTCCCCGTGTCCACATTATCTGGCTGTGAGCGAACACGTTGTATAGAACGAATGTTGTCCCCGTGTCCACATTCTCTGGCTGTGAGCGAACACGTTATATAAAAACGAATGTTGTCCCCGTGTCCACAATCTCTGGCTGTGAGCGAA